GGCGCGTGGGAGGCGGCGTAGGGGCCGCGTAGGGGCAGCGTAGGGGCCGCTAAAAAAAAAAAATTAGGGCAGGGCGCAATGTGCGCGGGCAGCTAAAAAAAAAAAATTCTTATGGTGGGCCCTTAGGAAGGAACGGTCCCATGTAGGAACCCGCTCTTATACCATGTGAATCAAGAAAACAGGAAAAATGAAATGACTAAGTGAAAGTTGGGTACAAAAGGCAAACCCTAGGCAACTGTACCCCATATGTGCTACCCCACTATAGCCTACAGTAGCTATGTCATATAACTCTGACATGCAGTCCACACACTCCTTCAGGACAGCGCCTGCGTCGTTGACGAGGAGGACATTCGCCTGCGGCCTGCCACACTTGTCTGTCATCATGTCGGACGCGATGGTAACACCTGTCTTCTTCCAGCTAGCCTTGATCCCCATCAAGCCGTTCTCAATACCCTTGCGGCAAGCGAGCAGTCCAGCACCTCCGATGTACTTGCGACGTGGCGGAAGGTAGCCCTTCCCGGCGCGGGCGACCAGGTGCATAGAGTTGACGAAGAGCGGATGTTCGACCAGGTTCTCCGGGAGGCGACATGCGGCAATCATGAGCGCAAGACCTTCATGTGCTTCACTTTTTGCCGCAGCAGCGTCGCCCTCGAGGTAGTCGGTCATGCGGGCCCGTTTGCCACCGGCTTTGACCGACGCTATAGCAGCCAACACCGCTCGCTGTTTCTCTTCTTTCGCAGCAGCCTGCGCCTCGTACTTCTTGCGGATCTCGAGGCGAACATCAGCAGGTGCCTTCCCGCAAAGCGCCACCTCGCGGCGCTTCATCTTCTTCCATGAGCTAAGGTGCTGAGCGCATCGGATGGCGGCACCTGAAAAGACCTTGAAGCAGTACTTGCACTCGTACTGCTGTGCCTTGCCCTCTTCGCGCTTGATGATACTGAAGTGCTTGAAGACATCGTGGACTACATCGGGAAGGTACTCCCTGGTCCCTTCTGGACGAGGGATAGAACTCTCCACAGACTGATCGGAATGCGGCGATCGGAATGCGGCGTGAGAGGCGGACTGCTGGATGACATCGCACTGAGGCTAGTTGTTGGTAGCGGGAGAGGATTACTGAATGGGATGGACGTTCTGACGAGTTGATAAATAGCATGACGAGTGGCGGGGGATTGGGTCGGAAGGGTTGGACTGAATGAATGTTGTGGGTTTGAATGCGGTAACGTGTTGGGATAGAAATGTTCAAACGTGCACACGCGACTCGATGTACGTGACCATCAATATGTCAACGTGCAACATGTGAAAGTGAAATCGCGACACCAGGACATGAATCCAATTTCCCGCAACCCTAGACCTCGGACGTGCAATCTGACGTCGCAGAATCACTCGCCGTGCCATTCTGCATCTTTTGGTGTGTTTGAAAATTTTTGGGTCGGGCGGGCTGCCCCAAAAAAAAATTGGAGTGCGTATAGCGTATTCGCTAGCGTTTCGCGTATTGCGTATACACGCTAGCGTTCAAACGCTGAACGCTAAGGCCCCTTAGCGTATATTCCAACTTAGCCTATGGGGGTGTGTCAAACATTTATGCTATAGTCTTTCTAGGCTGTAGTGGGTAGACAGTATGGGGTACAGTTTTCTAGGGTTACATATTTGTACCCAACTCATTTCCTAGTCCATCATTCCTCATTCTTTCACACATTCTCCTCCAATAGAGCTCCCCCCATCATTCTCCCCCCATAGAGCTCCCCCCAACATGCTCCCCCCATCGACCTCCCATATACTCTCCCCCCCCATCCAGCACCCCTTTTCATTCTCCCCCCATCGACCCTCCCTTTACTCTCTCCCCCCATCGAGCTCCCCCTATCATGGTCCCCCCTACTGGCTCCCCCTATCATGCTCCCCCAATCGAGCTCCCCCCATCATCCCCCCCCCCATCGAACCCCCCCCCTACCACTCTCCCCCCATAGAGCTCCCCCTATCATGCTCCCCCCGTCGAACTCCCCCTATCATTTACCCCCCCCATCGAACTCTCCCATACCGTGCTCCCCACATAGAGCTCCCACGATCGTTCTCCCCCCATCGAACTCCCCCCACCAGCATCCTCCCATCGACCTCCCCCCATCATTCTCCCCCCATAGAGCTCCCCCCGTCCACCCTCTCATTTCCCCCCGTGCTCCCTCTCAGCCCCCCTACTACTCACCATCATTTCCCGCCTTGCTCTCTCTCATTTCCCCCTATCATGGTCCCCCCTTCTAGCTCCCCCTATCATGCTCCCCCAATCGACCAGCAGCTAGCACCCCCCCCACCCATCGAACTCCCCCCTACCACTCTCCCCCCATAGAGCTCCCCCTATCATGCTTCCCCATCGAGCTCCCCCTATCATTTCCCCCCCTCCCATCGAGCTCCCCCTATCATTTCCCCCCCTCCCATCGAGCTCCCCTATCATTCTCCCCCCATCCGGCTCCCCCGTTCAGTCTTCCCCATCGATTTCCCCCTATCGTCCCCCCCATCAAACTCTCCCCTACGGTTCTCCCCCCATAGAGCCGCCCCTATAATTCTCCCCGCATCCAGCTCCCCCTATCGTTCTCCCCCCATCGAGCTCCCCCTATCATTCTCCCCCCCTCCCATCGAGCTCCCCCTATCATTTCCCCCCCTCCCATCGAGCTCCCCTATCATTCTCCCCCCATCCAGCTCCCCCGTTCAGTCTTCCCCATCGATTTCCCCCTATCGTCCCCCCCCATCAAACTCTCCCCTACGGTTCTCCCCCCATAGAGCCGCCCCTATAATTCTCCCCGCATCCAGCTCCCCCTATCGTTCTCCCCCCATCGAGCTCCCCCTATCATTCTCCCCCCCTCCCATCGAGCTCCCCCTATCATTTCCCCCCCTCCCATCGAGCTCCCCTATCATTCTCCCCCCATCCAGCTCCCCCGTTCAGTCTTCCCCATCGATTTCCCCCTATCGTCCCCCCCCATCAAACTCTCCCCTACGGTTCTCCCCCCATAGAGCCGCCCCTATAATTCTCCCCGCATCCAGCTCCCCCTATCGTTCTCCCCCCATCGAGCTCCCCCTATCATTCTCCCCCCATCGAGCTCCCCCTATCAATCTCCCCCCATTGATTTCCCCCTCTCATTCCCCCCCCCAATCGAACTCCACCCTACCTTTTTCCCCCCATAGAGCTCCCCCCTCATCATTCTCCTCCCATAGTGCTCCCTCCATCATTCCCCCCCCATAGAGCTCCCCCCATCATTCTCCCCCCATCGACTTCCCATTTACTCTCCCCCCCCATCCAGCACCCCCTTTCATTCTCCCCCCATGAACCTTCCCTTTACTCTCTCCCCCCATCGAGCTCTCCCTATGATTGTCCCCCCTTCCAGCTCCCCCTATCATGCTCCCCCAATCGAGCTCCCCCTATCATTCCCCCCCCATAGAACTCCCCCCTACCATTCTCTCCCCATAGAGCTCCCCCTATCATTCTCCCCCCCCCCCCTACCATTCTCCCCCCTATCGTTCTCCCTCCAGTGACCTGCCCATTTCATTCTCACACCCTCGGGCTCCCCCAATCATCCTCCCCCCCCCCCCCCCCCCCCCTCCCCGTCCTGCCCCTTTCATTCTCTCCCTCCTTTATCTACCCTTACGTTCCTCAATACCCCCTAATATCGCTCTCAGTTTGCCCCATACTCCCAATCATTTCCCACTTTCTACGTCTCAATTCCCCCCGTAGCTCCCTATCAGCCGCCCCCGAACCCCCCCCTTGTCACCACCATTTCCCTCCCTTGCTCCCATTCATTTCCCCACCTTCTCCCCCACATGTCCCCCCCTTATCCATCTCATATCCCCCCCTTTTCCCTCACACTTCCCCACCTAGCCCTCCTCATTTCTAACCTTGCTCCATCTCTGCCCGCCCCCTTCTCGCCCTCATTTCCCCCCTACTCCCTCTCATTAACCCCACTGCTCACCTTAATTTCCCCCCCTGATCCTTAACACTACCCCATTTCTCCACCTCATTACCACCCTAGCCGCCTCTCACTTCCACCCTTCCACCCTCTCATTTCCCCCCGTGCTCCCTCTCAGCCCCCCCACTACTCAACATCGTTTCCCGCCTTGCTCTCTCTCATTTCCCCCTCTTCTCACTCTCATTACGGCCCTTCTCCCTTCCTATTCCCCCTTTGCTCCCCGTCATTTCCCCCCCTGCTCCGTCTCTCTTCCATCCGTGCTCCCCCTCACTTCCACCCTTGCTCACCCTCATTTCCCCCCTTGCGCCCTCTTATTCTCCCCCTCGTCTCCCACCTTTCTACCAGGCAGTTCCCCCCCCTGCTCACACTGACATACCCCCCCCCTTCTCCATCTCACTTACCCCCACGATCATCCACTTACCAACCTTGATCCCTAACATTTCCCCCCTTGCTCCTAAGAGCCCCCCCCCCCCTTCTCACTCCAATTTCCCCCTTGCCCACAATCAGGTTCCCCCTTCTCCTGCAAAAGCACCCGCACCCCTCTCATCTCCCTCCATCACCCCATCATTTCTCTCCCTTCTCCCCCTTATTTTCCCCACCGTGCTCCACTTCTTCCCCCTCCCAGCCCTGGCATAGCCCCATTGCCTTCCCGTCCTTCTCATCTCCCCTCCGTCACAGGGTGGTTTCCTTGTAAAATACTGGGCCCCACTCCCTCTCTTCCATTCTCCCATCCATTCTCCCTCCCATGACATGCGTCTCTCATTCTCCCACCCTCGATCTCCCTCAATCATCCCCCCCATTTGCGACCAGGGTGCGATGGCGTCTCGTACTAGCACTAGCTCCGAACCCCGGGATGTGATGGGTCGGGCAGTACGCGAAATTGCTCTAGGTCATCGAACGCCACAATTGTCAATTTCGAGACATCTCCAGGAGCCAATTGCTCTCTTGCGAAGTGGGGCTACGCTTCTATTTGATGGGAAGCGGATAGCATCTTGTGGGGACTTGATTTATTTGTACACGCTGGCAGCACCGCGCCTCACCAAACGGCTTATGGCGATAGCGGCCACTAAAGGTACGTTAGTTATGTTTAGCCACGCCATGTCTGCACTGTGGCGCGCGGGCATGGACGCATCGCGCAATTGCCGGTCCAGTACTCACCACCAGTTGTTGCCCTCATAATAATCCAGAGACGGATGGACCAGAGGCACTAGAGATTGCACGCAAGCGTCTTTGTGCACATGGCCAGGAGTTGCAGTTTGGTGGTGAGGACGTGGTGGGCCGCGCCGGGGATCTCCTGTCCCGAACACCAGGCGCGATTGACCCCGTTACCTATGGGTTTGCGGATTGTTTTTTCAACAGCGAAGGGGTCCTGCAAAACGTCACCGGTTTTAACCATGGAGGGCATCGTCGTGGTGACAAATACAAGCATCTCAAGGAAACGGGTGAGGATGTGTGAAAAGCGATTGCGGGCATATGGTAAGCTGTGGTGTAACCTTTGCCCATCCGTAGTCTCCTTTGCCCATCCCCTGTCTCCTTTGCCCATCCCCTGTCTCCTCTGCCCATCCCCTGGCCCCTTTGCCCATCTGCTGTCTCCTTTGCCCACCCGCTGGAACCTTTGCCCATCCGTTGTCTCCTTTGCCTATCCGCTGTCTTCTTTGCCCATTCCCTGTCTCCTCTGCCCATCCCCTGGCTCCTTTGCCCATCCGCTGTCTCCTTTTCTCATCCGCTGTCTCATTTGCCCATCCGCTGGAACCTTTGCCCATCTGTTGTCTCCTTTGCCCATCCGTTGTCTCCTTTGCCCATCCCCTGTCTCCTTTGCCCATCCCCTGTCTCCCTTGCCCATGCCATGTATCCTTTGTCCATCCCCTGTCTCCCTTGCACATTCGCTGTCTCCTTTGCCCATCCCCTGTCTCCATTTGTGACTATGAAATGTCGATTGTCCCCTATAAACCCCCATTTCGTTTCAAACAGGGGAACTGCCCGAAGGGCTTGATTCCGCAATGGAGGGGCAACTTGCTCGCGATTTAGAAGAAGTGGTGCTTGAGCTCGAGGAGGACATGGTGCCGCTACCTGAAGGAGAGATCAACGTCGTACGCGCCGCTACCCCTATCTCTGAGGCGGTCCATGAGAGCTCCCACGCTCAAGGGCAATCGACGAGTGGACTTGGGGTGGTTGAGGGGTCGCTCAATAGCCCAACTCCCCCGGAATCTGAGGCGATTGGGCAAGGGGGAATGAGAGGGGGGCGTGGCTGCGTTGGGATTGGATTGGAGAGCATTCCAGAGAGTCAGCATGAGGATGACATTCCTCCACCCCCTGGGATCGTGCCGGGCGCATGCACGTCGAGGTTCGTCACCCCGAATGCCAGGTGGGCATTGTTTTCGCCCGGGCTGATTCCCTTACTGCCTTGCCATGATGCTACCCCATGCTGCATGGCGTACCCGGGTGCAAGTTCAGCATGGACATGCCGTTGCCTCGACTGCTGCCTTTTCCTGTAGCTGTCCCATGCTATTTGCCATTCCTTGGGTTGATGAGCATCTCAATCAGATCACGTTTTCGTTGCAGGCCATAAAACAAGCCAGCTTGTGGCTGCATGGATTGCATGACCAGGGTTGCATCAGCTTGACGTTTTCCCTTCCTCTGTGTTGCCCCATGTCATGTTGCAATTACACACGTCAGGGAAGCGGCAACTGTAGTGGAGGACCACCCCTCGACGGGCTCGTCACCCCCTCCTGGTTTAGCAAGTGTCGCCCAGCGTTGCCGAGCTTGCGGGAAGCGTGGTATGTCTACTTGATCCGCTGTTGCTCGTGCGTTTTTTCATGACATTGTGTATTGGGTGCACTGTGATCGCCGGATGCAACGGTCGAATGAGGTTACAATCCTGGTGGCGTCGGTGGACATGTTTTGGCTTGGCCTGGAGATGCACAAAGTGTGGTGGGACTTGTGAGTTTTGGTCCATAGACCGGAGCAGAAGGGATGGCACAGAGGGGAAACGGGGGCCGCGAACGCCGCCTGCAGCGTCGAGATTCATGGGTGCGTTTGCGCTTGCGGGCTTGGGGTATTAGGCGTTGTGGGAGGTTAGTCGTACTCTTGGGCTATGGATACCATCACGGAAAAGTTTCTACAGATACATGGGGGGTGAGAATGGTTTGTGGTGTAGTATACAGAGGATGGCGTCCAGATCTATAGAAGCAGTGAGGGGGGAGATGGGAAAGAGGCCGATTCCTGGAGAGTGGATTTGTGTGGACGGCCGATGGGACAAAGCCAGAGAGGGGCAGTGGTGTACTGTGTCGTTCATGGATCGAATTACTAGGAAGGTTATGCATTGTGTCACCGTGTCGAAAAAGGCTACAGGGGAGTCATCGCCCGCCCTCGAGAAAATAGCTTTCGAACGTGGGTTGGAGGAGCTCAAACAGATAGGATTCGTTGTTAAGGGAATCATTTCCGATGAGGGGGGCTCTTTCAGGGCAGCAGTTATTGATCAAGGGCTCAATCATCAAATGGACGTCTGGCATAAAGGTCGGAATTTGACTAGACGCTTTGTGCAGGACTTCATTGATGCAAAAAAGTCATCGTTGCGCGTACCCGAATGCAAGAGCGTGGAGGATGTTTGGCATGTCACTCCCAAACATCTGTGGGGCTGGTTGCAAGACAGTGGGTATAAAGGGCGGCTTACCCAGGGCTCCACTAGAGAGTCACTTGTGAAGGCCGTGTGCGAATTGTTGGGCAAATTCAAATATAAAAAGATGAGAGCCACAGCTGCGGCTTGGAAGTTTCCAGCCATGCAAAAGGTGTTGCGGTTGCGTCGGAAGGGGGTAGCTAGAGCGGTGGGAGATGGGAAGGAGAACAGAGGAGGGGGGGAGGAGATGGGGGAAGGACGCGCTTCAAAAAGGCAACGGTGCGAGGGCATTTCCGGGTTCGGATCGGCCTTGGTCGACATTCGCGTTCAACATGGTGGGGAGGGTGGGCGCGTAAATGTCGGTGGTCAGTGATTTTCGACACCCACAGCAGGGAATGTAGCCGTGGAGGTGGTGTCTGACGGCAGTCTCGCGAATGGGGAGGCCAATGTAGGAGGCGGGAAGGCAGCAGAAGGGGGGGGTGGTGTGAGGGTGGAGAGGGGAGACATGGAGGATTTGAGGTGGGAGGATGTCAGAGAGATGTGGGGCTATGATCCGCACCCGATTCATGGTGTTCGTCCATGCTCGGAGGCGTCGTTCCTCATCATCCAGGCTTCGGTGTCAGGCAGGGTTCACACACCCGACGAGGAGGCCGATGTAGAGCACGTGACAGAGACGGATGAGGCCCCCACTTCAGGTATGATGGTGATGATATGCTAGTCTAGGCGGGATGCTGACTGAGATGTAGTGCAACAAGGAAGCTTGTTGGCTTGAATGAGGTTGTGCCAGATTTATGCCTTACGCACAGTGACGGCCTCCCGTATTTGTCCACGTGTGATCCATTCTCGCTCACCCGTTTCCTCGTTCTCTTTGTTGTGGATATGCCTATTATTGTGCAGACACTCATGATACGGTAGCGGGCGACGAGGATGCAGTTGAACCCGAGTCGCCTCATCGTCGCTGGGAGGAGAGGGGGACAAAGAAGAGGCGGCGGGAGGAGTTGGAGGGGGTGGAAAACGATGATTTGTCCATGGATGATCTCGTCGAGGAGGTGACCGTGGGGCAGCGTTTTAGTGTGCACTTCCACCATGTCATGGTGCGCAATGCGACACTCGCAAGACTGGGTCTCCCCATGACTGCTGAGGATGTGGCAGCTGAGCTCGCCCTCGCTGCTGACCATTGGGCGGGTCTACATGCCGGTTGTGCTAGGGGGGACGTCCTTCCTCGTTGCGTGAAGGACAACTGGGGCCCTGAGAGTGCTGTGTACGAGCCTGACTCTGAGACCCACAAGGCGGTGAAAGAGTGGCTGGCCACTCACTGTAGCGCAGAACAGATGCAACCCTATGTGCTTGGGGCGGGGAGTTGGCTAAACGAATCATTCCACTCCCTCATCTGCAAGTATGCTCCCAAGCGCGTGAGGTTCTTGGGGAGCATGGAGGCTCGCATTGCGTTGGTCGTGCTCCACTGGAACAACACTGTGGAGCGGGTGGTCAAGGCGTACAAAACCCGGGTCCGAAAGGCGACACGGGTCAGGCGTGGCAAGAAGGATCGTGTTCTGGGCCCCATGGACTGGACCTGGGTCGACGACATCATGCGCGACTGGACGGCTTCCCGGGGGAGGCCTGAGCATGCTCCGCCTGTGGTTACACCCGATTCGGATGCACCCGAGTCCGTTCCCCCGCGAGACACTGTGGATTTTTTTTCCACCCCGCCTCCAGCCACAATATTTTGTCCAGGCCGGGAATCGACCAGCAGCACCAGCTCGTGGTCCAAGAGGCGCCACAGGACCGTGCGTGGCCCGCGCCCGTCCTGTGCACGCTGTCGTCTCACGTGTAAGTCACGTGGAGCCTCACCTATCTACATGCTTTTGAATCAACATGTCTCGCTGCCCGTGTCATCCGTGCCCCTAAACTCATGTGTGCAACGATGTTTTTAATTTCCAGATGAGCCCATGCCGCGGTAATCAAGGCCCCACCGCCCTGTGTACACCAAAGAAGCGTGCACGCAAGACGCCACAACGGTGAGAAATACTTGAGCCATTGGAGTCGCACACGCATTTTGGACTATTAGTACACTTCCTTTGGAGGTCTCACTCATCAATGCTTCGTGCACCCTCTATGATAACCCGTAATGTTTTTGTAGGTACATGGACTACGAGATCAGCACGGAGCAATCGCCGGAGCATGAGAAGCAGCGCAAGAAGGGCAAGGTAGGTCCAATCTACATGACAACCCACCTATGCGCCTCACCTTAGTATCTCTCGTGGCCCTCGAGCTCTGCATTGTTTTCACCCACTGCGCTCCCGCGTTCTCAGGGTTACTAATTGTAACCCACCCCCCCCCCCCCCACCCCTCCAACCCCCCACCCTCCTCCCCCCTCCTCTCCCCCTCCGTCCCCCTCTTCCGTCCTCCTCCCGGCTCTGCCCTCCCCCCTCCCAATTCACAGGGGGACGGAGGGAGACCAAGGAGCGGAGAAAAGGAGAGGAGTGGGAGGTGATGCATCGTTGTATGGCGTTGAAGCAGGGGCAGGCGGGGAGCCGATCGGGGAAGGTGTTTCGAGATGACGCTGTAGGAGCAGGGAAAGGGGGTGAGGGTCTGGATTTGGGGCCGGAGAAGGGTGAGGGAGGGGAGGGGAGGAAGCAGAGGGGTCTGGTCGGCTGAAGGAAGATAGAGGCTGATTAGACTTTGGGAAGCGGGGTTGGAGGGGAGAGGAGGGGTGGGGGTGAGATGTGGGGTGGGGCCAATCAAAGGAGTGGAGGGAAGGAGAAGTTAAATGTGAAGCCCTTGGATGCGCAAGGTTAATCGTAAGGTTGGGAGACGCGGGGTTGAGGGTAAGAGGGTGGGAGTGGGCGAAGAAGGGGCACAGGATGGTAGAAGATTTGAAACAAGGTGGGAGTAAGCTGTGAAGGGAAGGATGCGGTGTGAAGGAGAAGGCGAGGGAGAGAGCGAGGGCGCGGAGGAAGAGGAGGTTAGAGAAAGGGATGGCAGCAGGGGGGAGGGGGGGGGAGAGATCCATTGAGGTGCCTGAATGAGGGTGGTATGGAAGCAGAGGGGCTTGCATGGGCGAATGGCACGTACGAGGGGTGTTGGGAGAGGGAGTAGGGGGTGAGAGGGAAGAGCGGGTTGAGAAGGACCATAGGGAAGAATGGGTTGAGGCTGATGGATGATGGGGAGGATGCTCATGAAGAGGGGGCTGATGAGGAGGCATCGGAGTATGGTATAGACCCTTCTGGGCTTGAGAGCAGTGTGGTTCTCTCGCAAGGGAGAAGTGGTGGCGTCGCTGGGAGTAGTGGAAACGGGAAATGGTCCTATGTCGGGTGCAAGCGTAGGGATGTGCGAGCACTATTGGGTTGACAGGAAGGAGCGGGGAAGAGACAGTAGGGTGGCAGACGGAAGGAGCACTGGACACTGAGGGGAGCCGAGTGTTGGCAGTGTGAAGCGCATGGAGGCTCACACCCTACACGGTGGCGTTCCAATGGAGGGCCGCATCCGCACTCCACCCATATGCGAACGCTATGTGTTTCTTAGTCTCGACTGTTGAGTAGGCCATATGTTGTCCCGAGCAGGGCTAGTGTAACAGTAGGGATTGCTTTGTGGTGTTTTGGACGAGCGCCACTCCCACTGACTGCAGGGCCCTTGACTGGCTCAGTCTTCATTTGCTACGTCTGCAACCATCAGCGTCGCGCTTATGATTTCAACTGTGTGCGTCCCTTCAAGTGAAGCGTATAAATAACTGTACTTTGCCACTTGATTGCAACTTTGGAACTCCCACGATTTCCATACCAATCAATGCCTTACGCATTGATGTATCAATGGATGATCAATGATCGCCAGTTACAGATCCACTGCAAGCAAACGCACACTGCCATTTGCCACAGTTGTGATCACAGTGCTACAATGGTAGTATTACAGAGCTATACATGAACTTCCACAACCTCGCTCCCCCTTCCTCCTGCTTCATCCTCCTCTTCCTATTACTACTCCCCTCCTCTTCAGCCTCCCTCTCTTCTTCCCTCAGTGTCAATACACGTAGAATGAGAGTGGTGGGGACGCGAATGCTTGTCATGGCGCAAGGCCAAGGTGTCGCTGAGGGCAAGGCGGGTTGAGCGGAGGACATAATCCGGGCAGGACAGAGAAGGGTCACGGGTGGAGAGTGAAGGGAGGACATTGTGAGCTGTAGGATATTGGAGTTTAGCCATGACAGCGCTTTAGAGAGGACAGCGTGTGCGGTGGACAGATGGAGCTGGGGTGTGTGAGTGATCAAATGGTCAGAGGGGCAGTGGTGTGTGAGAGTGGAGTGGACAGAGGGTGCAGGAGATATGGCGTGAGCAAATACAGAGGTTGCAAGGTGCACACTTGGCCACATACCTTCCCCATCATCGTCTTCCTCAGCCACCGCTTGAGAGGCTAGACCGCCCTGCGCGTGGCCTCCCCCTGGAGACCGCCCATCTGCCCTCCGTCACCACCCAATCTCCTGAATTTGTCCCTATTTCCTCTCCCGCCCCCTCTACTCCCGCGTGTCGCCTTTGCAACGTTAGAAACGACTCTACAAACATTCGAGTAAGTACCATAACCCTGCGCCATACATCCCCTACGTCAACAAATCGTTGAAGTCTTGGGGGCGACGGTGACTCGCCGGAATGATCAAGTGGTACCAAGTCTGGTAAGTCCTGTGCTGGGCGCGGGGTGCATAGCGAGATTGAGCACAGGTGTGTTCTAACGCACGAAGAAGAGAGACCTCACCAAGGACCTGGAAGTTGCGTACCAGACACATCCCACTCTCCTCCCATATCCACCGCGCGCGCTCATGCTACATCCACCCGCGCCCACTCACTGCTTATTCCACCGCGCCCACTGTTACCACACTCCCCCCGCGCCCACTCCCTTACCTCACTGCCGCGCCCACTCACTGCTCATTTCCCCGAGCCGCCACCCCTGCAAACCCCCCCCCTCACCTCATCACTGTCGCTGCTCGTTCACGTACACATCGCCGTCCAGTGCCATGAGCAGAGTAGGAGGGGGAAGGGGTAGTAGGGGGAATAGAGGATGACATGGGTAGCGGGGGGGAGAGAGGATGCCATGTGTTGATAGGGGAATAGAGGATGACATGGGTAGCAGGGGGGAGAGAGGATGTCATGTGTTGATAGGGGAATAGAGGATGACATGGGTAGCAGGGGAGGGAGAGGATGTCATGTGTGGATAGGGGAATAGAGGATGACATGGGTAGCAGGGGGGAGAGAGGATGTCATGTGTTGATAGGGGCATAGAGGATGACATGGGTAGCAGGGGGGAGAGAGGATGTCATGTGTTGATAGGGGCATAGAGGATGACATGGGTAGCAGGGGGGAGAGAGGATGTCATGTGTTGATAGGGGCATAGAGGATGACATGGGTAGCAGGGGGGAGAGAGGATGTCATGTGTTGATAGGGGGAATAGAGGATGCCCAGGGTAGCATAGGAGGGTGGATGGGGAGTAGATGGGGATTGGACGGAAGGAAGGACGAGGTGGAGTGGGGGAGGGGAGTGGGTATGTGCGGGTGAAAGGGAGGGTGTAAGTGGGGGAAGCTGAGCGTTGGCGTTGGGGAAAGGGCGGGTTATTGTGTGGGAAAGGTACGGAGTGAGTGGGGTATTGGACGGGGAGGAATGGGGGAATGGACGGGTGGCAGTGTTCCTAAGGACACGGGGGGGAGTCGGGGAAAGAACGAGGGGGGTGAGGGAATGGGCATGGGGGAGTGGGGGTAAGGTTGGAGGCAGTGGGGGACTGGACGCGGGGGAGATGGGGCTGGGGCGGGTGTTTGTCGGGGAAGGAAATGGGAGCGAGAGAGAGGGTAATGGGGCAGGGGTTGGTAGCGTGCGCGGAAACAAAGTGAGCTGGGGGGGGAGGAGAGTGAGAAGGGGAGACAGAGTGAGCCGGAGAGATCGAGGTGTGTGAGGGTGATACTGGCGCTTCTAACCACTTCAGGTCGCAGGGCGGGTTGTGAGTGCGTGAAAGGGGAGTAGAGTGCGGTAGAGAGTGGGGAGGAGCTGGCATACCGTGTGGGGACAGGAGTTGGCGAGGTGAAACACATGGGTGTCAGAGACAGGAGCAGGGTAGAGGTGGAGGTGTGTGATGGATCCTGCTGCTTGTAACCACTGCTAGCCGCAGGGCGGGGTGTGAGGGCCTGGAGGAGTGGAGTGCGGTGGAGAGTGGTGAGGTGCGGAGGAGGAGGAAGTGTGGCGCCGCGCGAGTGGGAGAGGTCGAGGTGGGTGAAGATGGCTAGGGAGGTGTCTAAGGGGGAGGGATGAGGGAGGAGCGATTGAGACACCAGAGAGAACAAGATGAGTGAGGGGAGATGAGGAAGAGGAGGAGGAGTGAGAGGAGGAAGGAGATGAGGCGGAGGGAGAGGACGGGAGGTGGGTTATGGCAGTCCAGGCGGAGTTGGTGGAGAGCAGGCGTCGGAAGGCGAGGAGCCTTCCGGCAGAGGCGCTGGTGATGCTGCTTAACCCACTCTCACAGCCGGCCAAAGTGCACCAGCGACTGCGGGAGAAGGGGGGGAGGTGGGGGTGGAAAAGAGATGGTGGGAGTGGGATAAAGGGGAGCATCGGTGCAGGAGGCGTTAGCGCAAGTGAATCAGGGATGGGAGAATGACCAGGGTAGCTATGAGAAAGGAGGGCGGCGCAGGGTAGCACAGTGAACGTAAGGCCCTTACCTTACGGGGAGGACTAGCGAAGGGGTATAGAGGGGTTGGAGTGGGGGAAGGGGAGGACTGGCGTAGGGGAGAAGGGAAGGGTAAGGGGGTAATGGGAACTGAACCGAGGAGGAAAAGGAGGAGGTGTATTCGAGGGAGAGCAGATGGGAGTTGAAGGCAGGTGAAGGGAACGGAATGGTGGCAAGCGAAGGGAACCAATAGGGGAGAACGTATGACAGAATGAGCAAGGGGTGGAGGTGGAGGTAACGAAGGGCATGCATGGGAGGAGTGGACGAGGCAGAGGGATTAGCAAAAGGGGAAACAGAGAGAGCAGGGTGGAGAAGGGAGTGCGCAAAGGGAAAATGAGAGGAGTTGGAGGTGGGAAAGGGGTGAGCGAAGGGGAATGGGAATGGAGAGTGAAGAGGGGGGTGAGATCCCCCAAGTACAGGGGAAAAGGGTGTGAGCAGAAGGGGAGAGTGTGAGCAAGGAGCAAGGGAGTGTGCAGGGCAATATTAGGCCGAGAAAGTGGGGGAAATAGTCCCAGGAGGGGGAAAATGGGTGAGACGGGGGGGAAAGAGAGTGAGCAGGGGGAATGGGAATGAGGGCTCGGAATCCCGTGAGCAGGGGGAATGGGAGTGAGGGCTCGGAATCCCGTGAGCAGGGGGAATGGGAGTGAGGGCTCGGAATCCCGTGAGCAGGGGGAATGGGAGTGAGGGCTCGGAATCCCGTGAGCAGGGGGAATGGGAGTGAGGGCTCGGAATCCCGTGAGCAGGGGGAATGGGAGTGAGGGCTCGGAATCCCGTGAGCAGGGGGAATGGGAGTGAGGGCTCGGAATCCCGTGAGCAGGGGGAATGGGAGTGAGGGCTCGGAATCCCGTGAGCAGGGGGAATGGGAGTGAGGGCTCGGAATCCCGTGAGCAGGGGGAATGGGAGTGAGGGCTCGGAATCCCGTGAGCAGGGGGAATGGGAGTGAGGGCTCGGAATCCCGTGAGCAGGGGGAATGGGAGTGAGGGCTCGGAATCCCGTGAGCAGGGGGAATGGGAGTGAGGGCTCGGAATCCCGTGAGCAGGGGGAATGGGAGTGAGGGCTCGGAATCCCGTGAGCAGGGGGAATGGGAGTGAGGGCTCGGAATCCCGTGAGCAGGGGGAATGGGAGTGAGGGCTCGGAATCCCGTGAGCAGGGGGAATGGGAGTGAGGGCTCGGAATCCCGTGAGCAGGGGGAATGGGAGTGAGGGCTCGGAATCCCGTGAGCAGGGGGAATGGGAGTGAGGGCTCGGAATCCCGTGAGCAGGGGGAATGGGAGTGAGGGCTCGGAATCCCGTGAGCAGGGGGAATGGGAGTGAGGGCTCGGAATCCCGTGAGCAGGGGGAATGGGAGTGAGGGCTCGGAATCCCGTGGGCAGGGGGAATGGGAGTGAGGGCTCGGAATCCCGTGAGCAGGGGGAATGGGAGTGAGGGCTCGGAATCCCGTGAGCAGGGGGAATGGGAGTGAGGGCTCGGAATCCCGTGAGCAGGGGGAATGGGAGTGAGGGCTCGGAATCCCGTGAGCAGGGGGAATGGGAGTGAGGGCTCGGAATCCCGTGAGCAGGGGGAATGGGAGTGAGGGCTCGGAATCCCGTGAGCAGGGGGAATGGGAGTGAGGGCTCGGAATCCCGTGAGCAGGGGGAATGGGAGTGAGGGCTCGGAATCCCGTGAGCAGGGGGAATGGGAGTGAGGGCTCGGAATCCCGTGAGCAGGGGGGGAGAGAGTGAGAATGGGAGTGAAGGCGACAGGAGGGGGAAGTGTAGAGCAACGACGTGGTGAAAGGGATGGTTGACGAGAGGGCAAGGGAGAGTTGGCGTGGAGGAACGGGTTGGCACCTCGGGGAGGAAGGGTCAGCGTGGGGGAAAGGGAGGGTGGTAATGGGGGAAGAGGAGGGGGTGAGTGTGGGAAAGGGACCATTAACGTTGGCGCAGGAGAGAGAGTTGGCGTGGGGGAGATGGAAGGGTGGCACAGGGGAACGGAGGATTAGCGTGGGGGAAACGGAACTTTAGTGTGGGGGAAGCGGAGGATTAGCGTGAGGGAAAGGGAGGATTAGCGTGAGGGAAAGGAAGGATTAGCGTGAGGGAAAGGGAGGATTAGCGTGAGGGAAAGGGAGGATTAGCGTGAGGGAAAAGGAGGATTAGTGTGAGGGAAAGGAATGTTTATGTGGAGAAGCAGGGCGAGGGCGAGTGGGGGTAATGACGGGGGGGAGTGGGGGAAAGGACCGGGGCAGTGGGGGAATGGACGGGTGCGAGTGGGGGATAGGGCGGGGGGGAGTGGCGGAAAGGACGCGGGGGAGTGGGGGATTGGGCGGGTGGTAGTGAGGGAAAGGGAGGATGAGCGTGGAGAAATGGCGGGGTGGCGTCGGGTGCAGGGTCACGGTAGCGTCGGAGAGGGAAGCGTTAGCGCAAATGAACCAACCAACAACTTGAGGAAGAGGTTGTGGGGGAATGGGGGGGAGACGGCGAAGAGAATGAGCAGGGGAGACAGACAGAGAGAGCCGGGGGCTAGCGTGGGAGCTGGGGAAACAGGGTGAGCCGGGGAAGAGAGGGCGACTGGAGAATGAGCAGGGCGATGGGAGGGGGGAGCGAGGGCGATGGGAGAGGGAAGTGAAGGCGACGGGAGAGTTCGGTGAAGACGATGGGAGGGAAAAGGGAAGGCGACGGGAGGGAAAAGGGAAGGCGACGGGAGGGAAAAAAGAAGGCGACGGGAGGGAAAAGGGAAGGCGACGGGAGGGAAAAGGGAAGGCGACGGGAGGGCAAAGGGAAGGCGACGGGAGGGAAAAGGGAAGGCGACGGGAGGGGAAAGGGAAGGCGACGGGGGGGGAAAGGGAAGGCGACGGGAGGGAAAAGGGAAGGCGACGGGAGGGAAAAGGGAAGGCGACGAGAGGGAAATGGGTAGGCGACGGGAGGGAAAAGGGAAGGCGACGGGAGGGAAAAGGGAAGGCGACGAGAGGGAAAAGGGAAGAGCGACTCGAGGGAAAAGGGAAGCGCGACGGTCCGGGAAAAGGGAAGGGTGACGCGAGGGAAAAGGGAAGAGCGACGGGAGGGGGGAGTGAAGGCGACGGGATGGGGATGTGAAGGCGACGGGAGGGGGACGGGACGAGCATCGCTTATCGCGGGGTAATCTAAGGGATTCGCAGCTGTCAGGTGACGCACGTACGGGCGTTGCCGGCTCGTGCAGTGTGTCGCGATAGAAATTGATGCCGTCGAGCAGCTTTGTGTACGCTATAACTATCCCTCGCCGTTTTCGAGATTTGACGGATGGGGCTTTGCCCTTGCGCTAGGCCCAATTTCCTAGCTACCTGTAGTAGGCGCAGTCACCCTATACTACAATGAGGTGACGTGGTGTTGGGAAATGTGGTTGTGAGTCAGGTTGCTGTGAGGTGTCGCTTTAGGCTCTGTGCGACTGATGTGTGCGTAAAGTACATGTCGCAGGCCAACCCTGGTAACATTGGCGAACCTGCGCAAGCTTACGAACATTCTCAACAATCTCGACACCCCCACAGTTCGCGGGCCAATCACGTTTTCATTCCCAACCAACCTTCCTAAGGTTGAACTTCTTGGCCTGCGGGTTCATGTAGATCCGAAAATGCATCCAGATTCCTTTTGGGCATTGTCTTTTTTGGGCGGTAGTTTCATCTGTGACCATTCGCGTGATTTTTTCCCAGTTGATTGCGACTGATTACGTGAAATCACCCTTTGCAGTGACCGTGTCCGTGTCCAAACATATTATCGAGACCCTTGTTGATTACAAGTGGCATATTTTCCCTAGATCTCGGGGTGTCAGCAGTACACTTTATCTCTCATTTACTACGAATAGTGTCTTCTTTGTATTGCTAGCCACGTGATGGGATGAAGGAGCTTATTGAGTCGATGCGTTTCTAGTGCTGGCCCCATACCCAGCCTTATAGCATGCAACTGTGGTGCTCGTTTTTTGTACATCTCTCTAGGTGAACGAGGGTGAAAAGCAGTGGAGTATTAGTACAAGCCAACAATCTATGATAAGGGAAAAAAAACTGTACATGCTCATTTACATGCCCCCCCCCCCCCCCCCCCCCCATAGCTGCACTCCACAGAGAAAGGTAGACAGGTTTCCAATCACCAAAGCTCATGCACTGTCACTGCACTCACCCAGGGAAATGAGCAAGAATGGCTTCAAGCTAAATTGATGGAAGGAAGAATCCTTCATAGTGCTGAATTGATGAATGAGGAAGGTTCATCCCAGCGCTTGTTGCTCCTTGCTTACATCCATGTCACACGCATCCTCCCAGTCACACTTCCGCTGGTGCTCCCCTCCTCACACCACTTAAATTTCGCCTAGCTACGCCGCACTGAGGGAACTGAAGGATCAACGTGGGGATGAGCTGATTCACGCGGATTCATGCTGATTCGCGCTGAATGTGAACGGATCCGCGCCGCGATCCCAACACAGCAAGTCTAGCAGCCTCAAGACGCGCCTGAGAAGCCATTCTCTCCAAGTTACATTCCTGCTCGTCGTTGTCGTCAAGAGGCATGACTTCAAACCGCCGCCTGACAATGAACTCATCAAAGCTGTTCCCGTTGGACTCAGCTCCAGAAATGTACTCGATAGAAGCAGCTTCGGTAGGAGTGGCTCCAGAATCTCCCAAGGCTTGACTTGAAGGCTTCGTGGGAGGCAATTTCGGCTTCAAAGCACGGACATTTTCCCCACCAGCGACGGGTACAGTAGGGGGTCGCATCCTGTCTTGTGACTGAACCGAGGAAGCCTCTAACGAGTCATGTTCATGCACGGCCGTGTCGTCCCCATGATGAGGCAGCGAAGAACGAGTGTGATTAGCTGACGGGTGCATGGTTGAGGAAACCAGCGGGGAAGCTGATACAGAGGGGAGAGGCGAGTTGAAACCCGCTGCTGCTGCTGAAGCAGCAAACGAGGATGCCCGGGGTGACGCCAGGGGGGAGGCGAACGGGGAGGCGAGCGGGGAAGCGAACGGGGACGCGAGCGGGGACAGTGCGGCAGCCGATGACGTGGCAGAACCGTAAGCCACGGAACCGGTGGAGCAGGACTTGGGGAAGCGCGAGCGCGCGGCGCTGTTGAGAGGCGAAGGTTTCACCGCGAAGGAGAAGTGAGTCATGGCTTTCTTTGTCAAAGAAGCTCCTCGTCGGGCGTGTCGGGCTGTAAAGAGTATGGTGTGGCGTAGCAGGCTGCTCAGGCTGTTTGCTGCGACTCAGACTCGAAGTCAAGGCTTAGACTTGAAGTTGCGAGAGGCGGCTTGGGTTGCAATCGCTGCGGTATAGCAAAGACGATTTCTGTGAAAATGCATTGAAGGGTACACAAGCGCGCGGGGTTATGTACGCTCGGAGAAGCCGCAGACGAACACGCGTGAGTCGCCATACCGTGTCGTACGAGACGAAGCGATGGACTAAGTCGAACGTTTTCGGAGACACTCACGTCCTAGGACCTGCACTGTAGCATCGGTTTTGGTTCGACGCTTGCGGCGGATTCACTGCACCCATGAATACTCTTTGATGATCGACGTTAAAGCTGGAAATCGGATTTGCAGGCGAGAAGGTGCTGTGCTGATTGAGTGAAGGGTACGTGTACGGTATTTCCATCTCAGCAAAAATGCAGGCTGGCCTGAGGCATGCTGGACCAAATTAAGAGCGTGTCCGAAGTGAAGCGTCGAATGGACGTCGATGGATGTCGGTAAATGTCAGCCCTCGGATCGAGATTTCCAACCGTCAGGATTTACCGACATCGGATGTCAACGGATGTCGACTTCACTTCGGACCCGCCCTAATGTCCAGGTTTAACGAGGAAAGACAACCTATTGTGCGGTTGTTAGTTGATCGTACACTGAAGAATCACGTTCGGTCGGTGGACGTTTTTCGCTTGGCTTGGTTGGAAGGAGGAGCTTTTCAAGCATCCATGGCTACTGCAGAGTCTCCGGGACAATACGCCCAGTGGTGCAAACTCTTGTGAGATCGCGCTCCTGGGAGCGAACGCCATCGGAAGCTTTCAGAAAATCGACGGTGATCAACGATTCTGTGGAATCGCAAGGAATCAGAAGTAGGCAGAGAACGATATTCGTCTGCGGATGGGTCGTCGGAGATATCAATGGAAAAGAACAAGAGGAAAGTTTAGCAGCAGTCGCCATAACTCGCCTCAGGCCTCTTGAGGTCTCCGTGCTTCGCAGCAGTAAGTCGTTGGCTCACGACGAAGGACCTTGACACAAGCACAGTGAGACTTCAATCCTCGATACTGATAAATCCGAACTTAATGAATGACTCTTTGTACAACTAGATATGTGTTAGCTGTATTTGATCCACAAAGCAACTCCTTAATAAATCTACAAAAAATGCACTAAAAAGATTGTACAATCAAATTCAGGGATACGTTTATTCTACATGCAGCATGCACGTTAGTAAGTTATAGTCAGGAATACCGTGTATTTTACAACGTAGTATGTACATGAAACCTAGATCGATCGTAACGAATGCAAAGAATCCGATCCCGCGTTCTGTTCTTTTGAAAGCGAGACAGCAGTAACGAGACCCGACCCCCCCGCATCAAGCGCTCCTTGCTCACTTTTCGCACAACATCCTACAGGCCGTCGTGGGGTTCCGTTACGCGACCCAAGAATCTCCAAGCGACGGCTGTTCCAGGCGGCCGTGAACTGCGCGTCCGCTTCGCCGTCAACGTCAACGTCCTCGTCGAAGCGAAGAATCCGCTTTCGGCGAACGGAGCCGTGTCGCGAGCCGAGTACACGCACACGAGTGGTTCCAAGGATGCTTGCATCGGATGCGCCTCTATGGAGCGGCTCCAAGTGAACTTCCAGCGAACCATTCGACAGGCGAAGAGTTGCGGGTTGGAAAGATTGGATGCATGAAACGCCGCCTGCGGGTAACCTGGGCATCGCAGCGGCTACATGTTGCAAGACCCGATCTGTCGCCGAATGATGTTCCTTCGCGTGGTGTGTCGAGCAGCTCATGGTAACACGTGTTGGGCGATGATAACGGGATGGTCTGACGGGAAAGAAGCGATGTGCGGCAATTCTTGGTAGCAGACGTCGCGTTGAACGGAAGGAGATATGTTAGGGTAGTCGCGGCTACACGCAGGCTAATCGGTGACTGCTTCTGATGTACACGATCGAATTACTGACGACTCAGGTTGCTGATCACACGAACAGACTCGCTAATTATGGAGAGACTCGTACTGACACAAACTCGACGCTCAATTATTTGCTAATGACGCGAATCGTCCAACTGCTCGTGCAAGACGGAGAAGCATTGGAGAGGGTGCAAGCTGTAAACCAGACTGGCTGGAATCTTACGGGATCACATAAGTAGCTAATAATGTTCGGGAGAAAGATGGGAAGACCCACGTCCGCCATGGACAGGTTCCATTCAGAAGTACAACGTATCATCGCGGGTAAACGTTCTCAACCTAGCCATACCATTTTTCACCAGCTCAGTTGTGAAGGAGGGTGGGTTTTGTTGGGCCCTTATGTCGAATCACGTGGACAGTGTTGTGCTCCATGACTTGTTGGTTAGTTGTGGAACAGCAGAGCGTGTCATGTTCACTGTTCACTATGAGTGGGGTGGGAAGGAACCAGATGTATGTTCTTTTACCGCTCTGTGATTCCAGTAACCGTTCTGATTTCCATCATAACATTTCCAACCACCGTCACGAAATAATTTCCTGCCACGCCAAGCCAACTCTGCAGCACACTTGAGCTGCCTCAGCTTCACAGCGAAGCTGAGCTGACGCTAACTGTTATCGTTCGTCCCCTGTGGCTCGAGGGTGTGACCACATGCGGCGGTAGGCGAGAAATCGCCTAGGATGAAACCGTGCAGGTGTATCCTCGATCCAAAGCCGCAACATCCCTTCACCAGCTAACGTTTTGGGGGCTGCTGCTGACTGAGCTGGTTCGGAAGGTTGCTTTGGGCTTCGTCTCGGCGCCAAGGTTCCGTTCCGTCCCAACCGGCAGAAACAAGCGAGTCGCATGGTTTGTGTCAGGTCTGATCGCGTAGAGGGTTGGCTTGGCTCAGGGCGATCAGCAGCAGGCGGCTCGAATATGGCACCTGCGAAAAGTCGATGACAGCAAAGTCCCAGCGTCAGCATGACGAT